CAGGATAGTTCTAGAAAGTAGAGGGCGTGAGAATCACATGATCTCGATGACGCAACATAACTTTTATTGTGTTATTGCTCTTTGAACTATGTTTAACTAATAATTCCCCCAAAAAGTTGTAAATCACTTGTCAAACATGTAGCCCACATACTCGCAAGCATACATCATGAAAAATGTTTATTTTTTCTTTCTTTTAACTAATCTAACCTCATATGTTTCTCATTTTCACATTTTAGTTACTTTAATAATAATAATTCAAGAATACATATGAAAAATAAGAAATCCAGTACTTATCTGGGCCTTTGTTTTTGCTCTCAACTGTCGATGAAAATTAACACTACTTTTTTATACTAATAGTATTAATGCACAACATTTTTAAATTAAATAATGCACCTCAGAACACAGAATAAGCAGACAATGTCCTATAACTATCATAATTTTTTTACTTTCTAACCATGCGACAAGAGCCATTAAAAATTCAGCTAAGCTCATCGATGTGTTTCCTATAGGAATAGTTGAAACTGGAAGTGAAATAGACAATTCTATGTACAGAAAACAATGTATAATAATATGTCATTTGATAGATTAAAACTTTAGCTTTCTATTGGTTATAAATAATGTAGTATTAAACATCAGAGAAAACTAATGGCAATCTCTAAAAGAGAGAGGATGTAGCAGGTGGGGTGGCAAGATGGGTCTGATTTTTCAGTTCATGGCTTTGTAACCAAATAAGATTGAAAGCTATAAAAATTATGCTTTCCCTGAGAAATAATAATATTATAACGAGTACTTTACATTAAATTCCACACTTCTCAGAGGGATGGTAAATAATTTAGAGAACAGGGAAGACCTAGAGAGCAAATGTCACAATTTTCATAGTGGGGGAAATCAAGGTTTTTTATAAAATATTTACTTATAAAATTAAGAACTTAAAACTTATATAATATTAAAATTTGTTTTATTAGTTACATTTTGATGCAAGGTTATTCATATACCGTGATAATAAAATAGTTAATTACATTTTGAATGTAACTCAGTAAAACCTTGTGACATGCCTAGAAAAGGGTATCCATATGTAAAGAGTTAAAACCAACAGAAAGAGTATATTATAATATGTAGAAATTTTAAAATCAGTTGTTTATATTTTGTGATTAAAAACAGTAATTGACAAGAAAAGCTAGATGTATTTTGAGTAAAATCATTGCTCCTACCAGTAATAAAATTTTTTTAACCTATTTATAACTCAGTTAGAGAGCCATATAAATTGTTGGAGTATTAGTATATTCTATTCTAGTACATGATATAACTTTTTGTGTTCTAAGATGCATATATGAAAGCTACATGAAATATTCTTTCAAAAAACACATACAAAAAATTAGGGTTACTGAAGCATGGCTTCTAAGTACAAATGGCCTTGCCTAACATAAATGCTAAATTTCTTGCTTATCTGTTATATATTTTTCACAAAAATAGATAAAATGTAAAAATAAGAAAATTTTAGGGTTAGATAACAAAACTTAAAAAAAAAACTGAAATAAAATAAAATCATTAGAATCGTCCAGGCCCCAACCAACACAGATGATGTTGCATGACGAGCCACCAGAATTATGAAGAGAAGGCAAGCAACACCTAAGTGGGCAAACCTTCACTCCAGTGTGAAGAAGCATAAAATGCAACAAACTGAACTTGGAATTACGGGGTCCAGGCACCCAACCTGAAAATTACAGAATGTAGCATGAGAGCCACCAAAATTACAAAGAGAAGGCAAGGAACATCCAACAGGACAAGTCTTCCCCTCCAATCTGAAGAAGCTCAGAATGCAACAAACCAAACTTATAATTATGGAGCCAATTCCCACCTCACTCAACCTGAAAAAACAGAGATCATCTGGCCTGGGATTACAAACCAAAATCCTAACTCCTCAACCTGGGAGGCAAGGTAACACCTCCTTCCCCCAGAATTACAAGGAGGATGTGAAACAAACGAAGTTCAACCAATGGCTCACAGATGTGATGCTTTGCATTGGGAGGGGTTGGGGGGGCTCGCACTGGGAGAGTCCTGATGAATGATGCTCTGGAAACAATACAATAGGTGAACCACATTCCCTATTTTTGAATGCAAACCAACCCTGATTTATTCAATCCAGGGATTAGAAGGGATGGGCAAAGTCCCCTTATGCTTTACTCATGATAGTCCATGAGTGGCAATCCAATATTGTATATGATATTTGATACAGAACAATTGTTCACCACCCAGAAAGTGCCAAGACAGTCACATGGAACTCCCCATCTCAACAGAGCTTGTTGCTACCATGAATTTAGTTATTAGTCTACTGGTAGCTATTATGGATTTGTAAAAGCATACCTGACCAGGCAACACTCACCACTGAGAGGGATCAAAATGAAAATGATGAGAAGGTCCTTGAAAAGGAAAGTAATGGAGTTACCTCTGTCACAATCGAGCCTGGGTGTGTAGAACAATCACAGGGGTAGCTGCAACCCAGCTGAGGAGGAGACAGTCTAAATCACATAAATAGTGCAATATAAAGGTGTTAGGTGTGGTTCATTTACCAGCCTGTACAATTTCTTCCAGTGGGTGACACAATTGAGCTGCCAGGAACATAAATACATATCAAACTTGATAAGATGAGACACAAAGAATTCTCTGATCTTCCAATGAAAGATCAGACTAAGCTATTAGAACCAACTGACAAATTCAACTTATCGAAGTTACAGGGGATAAGTTTCAAGACACTGAAGGATCCTAATAGATAACAAACCTGAGACGTGATACCCAAAACACTTCAGTGCACGCCACATAACATCGGAGAGCCTAAACAGGGCAGCATAAAAGACGATCTGGATCCAAAATGTCGTATAAATGGGAAATGGAGGGGGTGATGATTAGGAAAGTCTTATCTCCTTCCCTAACTTTTGCAATTTTAGGTAAAAAGGACCTTGCCTGGATACAACAGAACATAGTTGAAATGGTACAGTGTCCTGTGATCATGGAGTGCAAACACAACTGAACTTCAACCCCACTAGCCAATGACAGATAAAAACATGATTTAAATGAAAGATGATATAGTGAACATGACCTCAAAGGTTCAAAAGGTGGATGTGACAATGCATGGAGAACCACTGTGATATACCAATTAGGAACTGTAAGAAGTGATGAGAAAAGATATCCTCAAATGATTTGAAAAGTAATGACAAAACCAGGGACTCAAAACTTTTCTTCGCATAGAAAAATGAAAAAGAGTTGATAAGGCAGCCTTATACAGGGCAGCAGATAAAAATTGAGAGACACCCAGCTCTTTCAGCCTCTGATACCAGAGATTAAGTATATAGTTCAGCCAATTGGCAGGAAGGGGGGAGAAAAAGCCAGTCATCCATGAGTGTGAATGCTGAGGGAGTGACGAAGATGCAAAAAAGCTCCGACTATCTGGCAAAACACGTATTGAGCAGGTGTGAAGCCAAATGATAGTGCACAAAACTGAAAAACTAGTTTGTCATGCACAAAATAGAGGTAATGTCTTGAAGACTCGGCAACTGCGATATGAAGGTAGGTATCTGTGACACTGAATTTTGTCATCCATAGTCTGGGTGAAAAGAGCCACTGAAGGGGAAAAACAACTCCATTGTAAACCGAGGTGGCTGGAGGAAGCGACTGAGATGAGAAAAGACAATGACCAGTCGCCAACATTTTTTGGTACTATAAACAGTCGAGAATAAAAACAGAGAGAGAGAGGAGGTGAAGAGCTCTATGGCCTTTAACTAATGAATGATCATTTGCTGTAAAATTCTTATCAATGCTATAAGTCTAGCTACCAGTTTGCCAACCAACTTTGATTTCATTCCTTTAAGTTGCATACTAAATCCTTTTTGGCCACACCTTTTTTCACACCTAAGGTGTTTTTGATTAAATAAACTTAATAGTAATCTTCAGTAAATAAGGGCTTGAATCATCTATTGTACTTGCTAAACCAAACTAAGCTTATCTGATGTTTTGCCAATGAAGAATATTTTCGTAGCTTTCAAACAAATAAAATTTAATATTAAAACATTATCAGAAATAAAAGGAATATCTAAATAAAATACAATGTTCATGCACCTGTGATTTGTTACCAAGTCTTCTCAACTTCATATTTGGTTCCAGTGCTCTTCCTTACACGATTTACATCTTATGAAACCATATATCATTTCTCATGCTACTTTATTCACTTTACTTTGAATTAATACTATGGTCTATCCAATGGTATTTAAACTTTGCCTGTCACTATTTTCTAAGCTGAGCTTCATTAGTAGTTGTTCAAATAATAAATGAGTGGGAATGAGAGGCTGTACTAATAAAATTATTGAAAGGGAAAGAAAATCACCCAAAAAACAAAACATGGATAATTATATTCTCAAAGAATGATAAATTCTCAGCAAATATACACCTATGGTTTGGGATTGACAGAAATATTATAAAATAAATTGATTAGAGTGTTGTTTATATGCATGACTCCTCATATCTGTACAGAATTCTATGTTTGAACTTCTTTTTCTTTTCTTTGCAAACTACTCCTAAATGATAACATTTAGGTTGGAATGTCATATCTTTACAATTAAAATAATAATGATAAAAATCAAGACTGGTTTAGATACCTGATGTTCCAATGCACTGTACTCTCCTTCTGTTTGTTCTCGAATTATGATAAAATCTAGGTTGGAGTGGCGTGTTTTAACTCCTGGTAGACTTCTAATATGAACTACATTAGCATACAGGTCAAGCATTCTCCTATAATAAAAAGACAAACTATTAGTAGTTCCTATTTTATCTAAGCCTAGCCTGAGTTCATTTAGAGAAAATTAAAAATATGGTATATACAGGTTTAAATCATTAGTTTTTGATAACAACCTAACTTTTTCTAGAATGGTTCACAGCAAACAATTTCTGACTAGTTGTTGTTGTTTTAGTACAAAACTACACAATGTGCTATCTGCTCTCTGTCCACTGTAGGGAAGTGAACTCGGATTTGAGTATTTTAAGTACGTAAACTCACTGCTGATCCATCTGGGGACAACTAGTTAAGTACATGTAAATTTCCCAAGAAAACAACATTATATTACCACACAAATAAAATAAAAAGAGTGATATCAACTCATAACAAAACATTTCTCATAAAACAGACACTTTCTTACAGTAACAAATCAGTTCAATCACTAGAAAAAGTGTTTCTTTTTTAGTCTATTAATTTTTTTATATGATTAGAAACTGTTAAAAAATATAATACATTTTGAATGAGGTTTTGTGATGTGGTGATCAAAGAATGACTAACAAGATAAATTCTGCATACTATTTGAGATCAGACAAAATGCAATAAATTCTCATCTATTTATGGAATAAAAGATAAAATGAATTTAGGTAAAGCTTTCTAAAAGTTAAATTACTATATAATTATCTGACATATCCATTCAACCCATGGAGAAGATACAGGGACTCTGGGGAGTGACACAATGACAAGGAGGACCAGATCTAAATTATGACACCCCCCATGTCAGTCACTTGCATGCCAAGTTTGGTTGAGATCAGTCAAAGACTATAAGTGTGAAAGGTGGATATACATACAGACAGTGGCCTCCCCAAGTGGTGTCATGGGAGTAAGATATGAATGCTAAATTCCCTATAACACTTTTGAGGGAGCTATAAGAATGCATGCCAGGTTTGTTTGTCACCATGGAGTAGCTGAGATCGATCAAAAAGTGTAGATGCACAGTAACAATTCTGCTTTATAGATATAGATATACATATATTATTGTAATACTGTTCTTTCAATCATGAGTTATTTTAAATTTTCTGGTGAAATAATTCCACATTTAGTCCATTTGATGAGAACAAATTACTTTATTTCCACCTTTACATTTCTTTACAGGTTTGAAGTCATTGTTGTAATTTGTTGTAGACCTACAATACAAATGATGTTTAAATCTCTCTAACAATCAATTTATTTGTATAAAGTAACTCAATACGCATGGTATGGAACACAGGTCCAAATATTTCATGAAAATACACTGGTTCATCTCTATTTTAAAAAGAAAAACTACACACAATTATCTCATTTATAATCTAGTTTCAAATGTATCACAAAAAAACAGATGTCAACTTAATTCTCTAGGTCTACTAAATGTCATCATTAAGACCTGCAGCTCTCTCGAGCTAACAAACAAATTACGATATAAACAATACAGCTTATAATACTGCTCTCTTCCTGGATTGTGAAGTCCCTTGAACAGTCCTAATACAAAAAATAAAACACTACATTAACCCTCTCCAGACGGGTAATGGGTCAAAGGCCATGTCATTGCATTTGTTGAACTACTATTTCATGAATTTATGTCAAGAAGTTTGGTAACAAGCTGTAGATTATAATTCAAATTTTAGTATTATACATTATTTAATTTCTTAATTTAAAAGTAAATATTAAAAAATAGTTAAACATTGATTTTTGTGTCACATGGTATGTTGAATGCAGCACTGGTTT